AGAGATTTTAAAATATGTAATAATACTAATGGTTTCTATTTAGTGAATAAAAATTGTCATTTACTCCTCTGACAAGACCCCTTTTAGGGAGATTTTGTATATTGGGAAACAGGCTCATGAGCTTTTTACAAACTTCTTCTTTAAGGTTCCCAACTCAGTAGTAACTGGCTGTGCATTTCATCCAGCAGCCTTTATTTTTAATTTTATTTATTTACATATGTATTTTGAGACAGAGTCTCACTCTTCATACCCTGGGTAGAGTGCCCTGATGTCATAGCTCACAGCAACCTCAAACTCCTGGTGGAGGAGGATCAAGAGATCCTTTTGCCTCAGCGTCCTGAGTAGCTGGGACTACAGGCACCCACCATGTTGTCCAGCTATTCTATTTTTAGTAAAGATGGGATCTCATTCTTTTTTTTCTTTTTTCTTTTTTTTTTTTTTTGAGACAGAGACTCAAGCTGTCCCCCTAGGTAGAGCACTGTGGCATCACAGCTCACAGCAACCTCCAACTCCTGGGCTCAAGCGAGTCTCCTGCCTCCGCCTCCCAAGTAGCTGGGACCACAGGCGACCGCCACAACGCCTGGCTATTTTTTTGGGTTGCAGCCGTCATTGTTGTTTGGCGGCCCAGGCTGGATGCAAACCCACCACCTTAGGTGTATGTGGCTGGCGCCTCAGCCACTTGAGCCACAGGTGCTGAGCCGGGGTCTCATTCTTGCTCAGGCTGGTTTTGAACTCCTGAGCTCAAACAATCCACCTGTGTTGGCCTCCCAGAGTGCTAGGATTATAGGCTGCCTGGCCCATCCAGCAGCTGGTAATCTTCCTTTGATATCTCTGTCACTTTCCCTCATTCCCCCACCTTCAGTTCTGCACCATAGGATATTTGTTCTGAATTTCTTGAGAATCCATTTACTTTTTCTCCACTTCTTTTGCTAATCCCAGTGAGCTGTTTCATCATCTCTTATTTGTTTTTTTGAGACAAGAGTTTCACTTTGTCAGCCTTTGGTAGAGTGCCATGGCATCACACTCCTAGCAACCTCCAACTCCTGGGCTTAGGCGATTCTCTTGCCTAGGCCTTCCGAGTAGCTGGGACTACAGGCACCCACCACAACACCTGGCTATTTTTTGTTGCAGTTTGGCAGGCGCTGGGTTTGAACCCGCCACCCTCAGTATATGGGGCTGATGCCCTACCCACTGAGCCACAGGCCCCGCCCCATCATCTCTTATTTGCAATATCCTTTAGTCTCCTTTACATTATCAATTCTTTTCACCCTCCCAATTCATTCTCTACTCATTAGGTAACATTATTTATTTATTATTGTTTGTTGCCCTTGGTAAAGTGCCAGTGGCCTCACAGCTCACAGCAACCTCAAACTCTTGGGCTTAAGCAATTCTCTTGCCTCAACCTCCCAAGTAGCTGGGACTACAGGCGCCCGCCACAACACCCAGCTATTTTTTCGCTGTAGTTGTCACTGTTGTTTGGCAGGCCTGGGATGGATTTGAACCCACCAGCTCTAGTGTATGTGGCTGGTGCCCTAGCTACTGAGCTACAGGCACTGAGCCTATTTATTTATTTTTGAGACAGAGTCTCAAGCTGTCACCCTGGGCAGAATGCCATGGCATCATAGCTCACTGCAACCTCCAAATCAGACTCAAGCGATCCTCCTGCCTCAGTTTTTCTATTTTTAGTAGAGACGGGGTCTCACATTTGCTCAGGCTGGTCTGGAACTCATGAGCTCAAGCAATTCACCCTCCTCGGCCTCCCTCCCAGAGTGCTAGGATTACAGGCATGAGCCACCACACCCGGCCCTCACATGATCTTTTTAAATGTTCATTCTGACCATGCCATTTCTTGGCTCAAAACATTGTAGTGCCTTCCCAATGCCCTTACAATAAAATCCCTCATATGGCCATTGTGCATCTGCACCACTAGTCTCTCCTACCTCTTAACCTATTACAACCAACTCCTTTATTCTTTTTTCTTTTCTAGCCACAAAGGTCTTTTTTCCATGCTGCAAACTGGCCAAAGTTCTTCCATTCTCAGGGCCTTTGCACAAGTTTTTCTTTCCCGTAGAACTCTGCTAGCCTGCACACTTTCTTGTCCTCTTTCCCCAACCTAATGCCTTATTCTTTAGGTCTCATTTTAAACATGTCTTACCCAAGAAAAACTTTCCTGTCTAGACTGTATCCCCCAGCTATTTGTTCTTACTATTCTATATTTCTTCTTCTCAACATTTACCACAATTCTAATGATATAGTTATTTTGTACTTTTCATTTACTTTTATTTTCTCTATCATTGGCATAGATAATACGTACAATATACTACAAACTCAAATTGTTCAAAATGTATACAGTAAAAAGTCTTCTTTTTCTGTCCCCTGTTACCCAGTCCTCCTTCTTAAAAGTAACTACTTTTAGCATTTTGAATATCCTTCCAGAAATATTTTCCCAGAATACAATCAATCATGTACATAATTTTCCTCTTTATTTTTGCCTTGTCTTTTATTAACACAGACACTATATGCATTCTTCAGCACTTCATTTTTGTCTGTTAATAATGTATCTTGGCATTTCTTCTGTATTAATACAAATATGTAAACAGTTGCCTCTTTCTCTTTCATATGCCATATAGTATGAATTTACCATAATTAATTTCTACTGTTGGGCATTTAGGTTGTTTTCAGGCTTTGGTTATTTCAGACAATGCTGCATTGAATACCTTGGTTTTTAAAGTCATTTCCCACAGTTATAGAATAAATTCCTAGAATTGAAGTAATTGAGTTAAAGGTTATGTGCATTTTACATTTTGGTAGTTATTGCCACACTTCTCTCTATGGAGGTTTTACCAGTTCACATTCCCACTAAGGTTTTGGAGGTTTGGGGGGTTTTTTTGAGACAGAGCCTCAAGCTGTCCCCCTGGGTAGAGTGCCATGGCATCACTGCTTACAG